AAACTGTTGTGCTTTTATCCTTTTGATTTGCTGTTTGTTAAGAACTGACTAAATTGCTGATGTGCTGATTAATATGAGGAAAGAGTTGAAATGTGGCACAGAACCTCTGATTTTCACTCACTATTTTAGCACAACACATAACTTCTGAGTTCTCTTTACTGTTAAACACACTGAACTTCTGATGTTTCCACTTACTGTTTTAACACTCAGCACTTCTGATTTTCACATGCTATTAAACACACTGAACTTCTGATGTTTCCACTCACTGTTTTAAAACTCAGAACTTCTGATTTTCACACGCTGATAACACACTGAACTTCTGATGTTCACTCATTGTCTTAGCACAATATAGAAATTCTGAGTTCTTCCTACTGTTTTATCACGTACAGAGCTTCTAAGATTTTCTCACTGTTCTCACATTCAGAACTTCAGCACGTAGCAACCCAAAACTTCTATGTTTTCCATCTAACGTTTTTTACAGGACCTCAGAGTGTATCAACTCAGAACTTCTGATTTCCTCTGATGTTTCTTGCTGAACCACAGCGCGCCCGACATTAGAACATTTGATCTCCGTTGCTTTTCTTTCAGTAACATGTTACTTCTTTTCTCTCGTTATTTTCCCTTTTATCATTTTTAACATTAACATCCTTTTTAATATATAAAAAAACAGATATAAAAACCATTTTCAAAACAAATCCTTTTTCTTTCTTGCATTGTACCTTTCAATATGGTTGTAATAGTTAAATAGGATTTAAATTCTTATAACCCCTATTTGTAAATTTGTACCCCCATCCCTAAATATTGTAATAGCGTAGGACTTTATATTTCTGCAATTTATCGCTTTTCAAATATAATGCTAGTAATTAGGGTGTGTATGGCAAGACATGAAATCAACAAATATATCACCCTAATCAAGACTCGATGCATGCAATCAAACACACTTTGCACACACGCACCCTTAAGGTAATCTCACTTGTTGCATATCGGAAATTAGTCATGTCCCTCGAACATGGGCGTTTTAGCAAAAGACCCTCGATAAAAGATCGTAGTCCCTCGATGACCCTCGATGTTGCCTTCGGTAAACGATCTAGTCCCTAAAACGACATTGCTAAAACGTTCCATGGGTTGACTTCTATGACTATAAAAAAAAGTCTCGTGCCCGTCCCTTCACATCCAACATTGGGGCTTCTTATCAAATCAATGGTAAGATAGCAACATCTAAAGGAGGAGGAAAAGAACATTTAAGACCTTTTGAGTAGGTAGATTCGCTCCTAGTTGCTCGCTTGCTCACAACCAAACATTTTACACCAACATTTTCACATTAAAACCTTTTTTCAAAAGACAAAAGCTTTTTGTATACGTTCTTATAGAGACGAGAACCATTACAAAAACATATTTTCAAGAACACTTTCAAAAACACATCTCACAAACACATCTTTGAACTATTTTCCAAACAAACACTTTGTACGCGTTCTTATAGAGACGAGAACCATTACAAAGACGTTTTCAAAATAATTTCAAAACCCACACCACAAGCATATTCAAACAAAAGCAAGTGATCTAGCAAGCAACTAAGAGCCCGTGGAAAACCATGGATGAAAAGGGTGTTAATACCTTTCCTTTTCATAATCTACCCCCTCGAACTCAAGAAAACATCTCTAAAGGTCTTTCCTGTTCTTTTCAGTCTTTCCTTATTGGATAAAAGAAAAGTCGGTGGCGACTCTTGCTATCCGCACAATCGTGATCAAACGCAAATACCCAAGTCAGTTCTCCCACCGTATCACAGGAATATACTTCTTATTCTTAATTTTACTCCACATAAATAAAGTTCATCGCTTTAGCTATCCAACGCTTCTAACGGAACCTCATTCTGAGTTATAAAACTCAAGTTATGACTCTTTTAAGAAAATCCAATACAACCAATCAAAATCAGACATCATCACCTGACGCCACACCTCTATCGCCTGGCGATGCTCTCTTCTCCACCACCATCGCTCGATGATTCTTGGAGCGACGCACTCCAGAAGAGTCACTCTTTTCTTCCCTTCATCACTACCTATTTCGCCTGGCGACACGTCTTCGCCTGACGACACTGCCTACGTCACCCGACGACGCTGCCCAAACAGGGTTTTTCTATTGTGATTTCCTGCATAAAACCAGTCACAAATTCTACGATTTCACTATATTACAGGTCCTAAAACATTATCTAATCACAAGGTTTCATCATCTATCAACATCCTGTAATTATATACTCATTATACATGAATTATAAGTTATTATTCATCACCAATTCATCAGTTACTCATTAAACAACACCAAATACTCATCTACCAAAACCTAAGGCAATCTACCATCATCTAAACCTTAAATCAAATATAATAACAATGATAAAACTTCTCTTACCTTAATATTATTGCTAGAGATCAATTCCTCTTCGTGCTCTACCAGGATTCCTATGATTTTCTTGCCTCTCGTGCCCTAGACTTCTTTTCTCTACAATGTCTATTCCAATTCTATGATCTCACATAATGACCCTTATTTAAATCATATAAGATCCCAAACCTTATCCTTATACCAAAATTTCCCTCTTAGACCCCTAATAATTAACTTTCCGTCATGTCCTCACTTATCCTTCACTAATGACCATCTTGCCCTTATTTTCTCTACGCCACTATTATTCCATTATTTAAATCTAAATAATTATAAATAATTACTATTAAATCTAAATGATTTCGAAATATTCATTTAAACCCTAAACACCTCTTATTATCCCATTGTCCACCTCTATCCCATCAAATACCACACAAGTCATCATTATAAACATCATACTCATCAAGTCATTGCTATACATCGCAAATGCATCACGATTACACATCATAAATCGTCACAAGGACTTACACAAAGCATCAAAACATCATATATACCAACCACTTCACAAGGAATCATATAATCATACTAAATTAATTAAATAATAATTAATCTAGAATTCGAGGTGTTACACAAGCTAATGCAACGTGGTTATTAACATTCATATTGATGATAGTTTGTTGTATCAAAATGCTTGCATATTAACTCTTGAAAATAATGGAAGACTTGATTATTTTCCCAATAGTTTCAAACCATTGAAGAATGAAGTAGGCATAGCGAGACCAGTTGCCAAACCACTATATATCTCTGTGTACTTTCTTCCTTACCTACCTCTCTTTAAGTTTCGTTGTTTAGCATGTAAAAGTTAAATTGTAGCATAATTTGTATGTCATTTAGGTTAGGTCATGCTTGTAGTGGTTTATTGTATAAGCATCGATCTGTGTTGCATCAAACCTATTGAATCGTGCTTAAGTTGATTGTGTCAAACAAAATATCTAAGTTGAGATATTAAATTGCTTAGGTTAAGCAACTTGAGTTATCCAAATTGACTCAAGTCATTGTTTGATCATTCTCTTAGTGATAACATTGAAATACGTTGGTTATAATCCATAATGATGAGATTTCTTGCTCTCGTCTTATGTTGTTTTAGCTTTTACTCACCAAACTTTGATTTTTGTATTAAAAGTTTTCAAATGTGTGTTTTTTTTTTAAAATGGGATAGGTCTATTCAATCCCTCTTATATAACTTCTTCACACATATTCCCAACCAACACATCTTTGGTGACTTAGATGCAATAACATAATAGAATCCACCAGTCATTGCTTTAAAGAATGTGTTTCAGTGACCTAAGTTTGGTTTGAACCCCCTTTCATTTTAAACTTCAACTTTTACCCATAGAGTATGCGTACAAACTAGTTGGTGAACATGATTAGAAGATTAGATAATGAAATATTGTCCAATATCGTCAATATAGAAAATAAAATACATATGATTATGAATTTAAAATTGTTCGAAAATAAATATATACTTGTAATCGAAGCCATTGACCAAGCCATACAAGGGATATTTAACATCAACAATGCTCAAAACCTAAAAGAAAATCACTTTATTAGTAAAAACGAAAAATAATATAAACCCTAAGAATAAAAAACGCGAACCATTAAATTCGAATCTATACAAATGCAATGTTGATGTATACTTGACTATGAAAGGCAGGTAGGGGAAATGAGCCGTGATTTAAGATGAATAGAGAAAAATAACTATGGAGATAATATGGATTAAATTAAAGTTCAACGATCATTTTTTAGCATAAGCTCATGCCACATGTCGTGGTTGTGGATTTTTTTTAGAACTGTTACTTTATTCACATCATATTCGATTCTAATTGTAAGTTTGTGGTGGGGGAAATTGAAGATTAGAAAAACTATAATTTGAGTTGCAGATCGATCGCAAACAACATTAAAAAAAATTGAGTTAATTTTCGAGAGTCAATGTGATATTTGCCAATAAGGTCAAGAATATAATGACCTGTATGATGACCAAACATTTACATGTAATAAAAAATACATATACGATATTGGAAGAGACTCCCAGAATAATCTATTTTTGAGAATTTTTTAGAAAGATCTTAACTAAAAATTATATTTTATGTAAAAAATTAGGAATGATAATTATTTGTTAATTGCGCAAATTTTTTTTAGACGAAATAATAATTATTAAATTTTTTAATAACTATCAGAAATTGAATAATAAAGTTTAAGTTAACAAAATCGATTTTTGTCAATTGAGTTAAGAGTTGAGAACAATTGTGTAATTTAATTATACAGTATTAAATATACATTAAAAAAAATTAAAAATTATTTGTAAAGTTAATTTGGTAAAACTAAAATATATTTTCATAAATTGATTGTATTTATTAATCCACGTGAAAAAAATCTTTAAAATATAATTCTAAAATAGAAAAAAATAACTATGAAAAAGCTTTCCTCCAATAAATCCCCTTTTTTAAGTTTCTCATTCTTTTGGAAAATACAAATAGCCGTTTTCTCTTTTCTCTCTCTTCCTCTTCATTTGTTTCTGTAAATACCCACAGAAAAAAAAACCTTCCCATTACACTCTCACATTCTCAACAATGGGTCTCTTCGCATTCTCTCAATTTTCTCTCAAAATTTTCCTCCTTCACATTACTCTCTTCTCCACTCTCTCTTTCTCTGGTGATCCATCTATTTACCAAGAAATTCACGTTTCTTACACCACTGTTTCTCCTCTCAGTGTTCCTCAACAGGTTCGATTTTCTTTGATTTTCTGATCTTTTTCGGTCTTTTTAGCTTAGTTTTTCATCTGGGTCGTTTTCATATTTTGTTTTCAATCATAAAAATGAGACCTTTTTTTCCTCTGTTTTGGTTACTTTTTTCTCAAAAAGTGTTCTTTATTGGGTTGTGCTCATAGATACGTAAATGGGTTGTTTTTGTTTGTTTCTTCATAAAGGGTTTCTGAATTTGTTTCTTCTGTTTTGTTTTTATCCTTCAATTTTTACATGCAGTGTAATGGTGTATAGTGTTTTTTTTTCTTCTAACTTTTGATTTTTTTTATATGATTTGTTGTAATGTTTCATGAATATTGAGATTATATTTGAAATCAGTGTTTGCAAATTACTTGTTTTGAGGTTGAAAATAGGTCAAATATTTTTTTGGTTTCTATGGAACAGTCTCTTTCAAATATATTTGAAAAGTGTTGATTTGAAAAAACTATCAATTTCTTAGTTTTTCTGTTTCAAGCTATATGATTTTGATTTTGAAGCTGATAGTGGACTTGACCTTTGTGTGATTTCAATGGTGATTAGTGAGATTTTTCATTTTTTTTGCCCTAATTTAGTTTAATTTTACTCTTTGTATATGAATTTAACCTAATTTTTTTTGTTCAGCCAACTTTTTCTCTAATCTATGATTTAATAATAATAAAAACATTATAATAAATAATATAATTATAAGCAAGGTTTTAAATATCGGTCTCGTAAAGGTTGTTGCGATTTCGGTAGGTACATGTGTTGAGAGTATGTAGCACTGACACCTCTGAAAAATGTTGTGTCCGTGTTGATGCCGAACACCGGCACCTATACTGATACTTGTGATTATTTTATTTTTTTCATTTTTCAAATTATTAACGGTGTCACCGTGTCAGTGTCAGTGCCGTGTTTGGGGTGTCAGTGCTTCATAAGACACTGATTGCGGTCGTCACGGTCTAAATTAACCATAATTTGTTCTTTAACTTGAAAACGGTGAATAATGACATCGGTATCGGCATCCGCTGAAACTGTTTTTTTGCGGCAATTTTTGCGGTCGTGGGGTGTATTTAAAAACCTTGATTATAAGTTTGAAAGGTTAGAAATTGTTGATTTAGATAATAGTGAAAATTTGATTTGCAGGTTATAGCTGTGAATGGGAAATTTCCAGGACCTGTGATTAATGTTACAACCAATAACAATGTAGTTGTGAACGTTTTCAATCAGTTGGATGAAGAACTTCTCATTACATGGTTGGTTTCACTGTTACATTGCAATTTTGTTAATTTTTTTTATAATTCCATATTTCAATCTGACAAATTTGTGAAAAAATGGTTGTTTTAGGCCTGGTGTTCAAATGCGGCGTGATTCGTGGCAAGATGGAGTTCTTGGGACGAACTGTCCGATTCCTCCGAAATGGAATTGGACATATGAGTTTCAAGTCAAGGATCAAATAGGAAGTTTCTTTTACTTCCCTTCTACTAACTTCCAAAGATCTTCTGGTGGTTTCGGTCCTTTTGTTATCAACAATAGGGAGGTTATACCGATTCCTTTCGCGCAGCCGGACGGAGAAATTTTCATCATGATTGGTGATTGGTATACTCAGAACCACACTGTTAGTATTCGTCGTCCCTTGATCTTTTTCTTTTGTATGAATATTGGTGATTTGAGATTTTGTGAATTTTACGATTATACATGCTTGTTTGATTAATGTAGGCTCTAAGAACAGCGCTTGATGGTGGAAAAGACCTTGGAATACCAGATGGTGTTCTTATCAATGGGAAAGGACCTTATCAGTACAATGATACTCTCGTACCTAACAAACTACCCTTTGAGACAATTACTGTTGACCCAGGTATTTTCATCGGCATCACCTTTTATTTTCCGCTTTCGAGTTATTTTTCTTCATTGTTTCTCTTTCTGTTATAACATTATATGTTCCCTCTACTAGAAGTTAACTGTATTGCATTTGTTTCTTATAAGATTACAGTTTGAGCTATTTTTTTACCTTTGAATGTTGCATTTTTGAGTTTGAATTATGACCGAAACTACAAATATATTTTGCAGGCAAGACTTACCGAATCCGTGTCCATAACGTTGGAGTTTCGACTTCTTTGAACTTCCGAATTCAAAACCACAATCTATTGCTTGCGGAAACAGAAGGGTATTACACAACGCAGGCAAATTTCACGAGCTTCGATATTCATGCCGGTCAGTCTTACTCTTTTCTTCTCTCCACCGACCAGAACGCAAGTACCGACTACTATATTGTCGCCAGCGCTAGGTTCGTGAATGAATCATTATGGCAGAAGGTTACCGGTGTTGCAGTTTTACACTATACAAATTCCAAGGGTACGGTAACTGGTCCTTTACCTCCACCACCCGATGATTTTTATAACAAGGGCGCGTCGATGAACCAAGCAAGAAGTATCAGGTTTGTTTTCTGTATTTTGTTCTCGACGATTTCACGTCTCGGTTGATTAACTCGTATGTTTTTTTTCCATAATGATGTTGAGCAGGCAAAACACATCTGCTAGTGGAGCTCGTCCTAACCCTCAAGGATCCTATCGGTACGGTTCGATCAATATAACCGACACTTACCTGTTAAATGTTACAGCACCAGTGAAGATCAATGGAACTACTCGGGCTGCCATTAACGGAATCTCATTCCTTAAACCCGACGTTCCATTTCTCCTTGCTGACAAGCATCAACTAAGAGGAATCTATAAGCTCGATTTTCCAAGCAAGCCGATGAACAGAACACCAGTGGTTGACAGATCAATCATCAATGCTACATATAAAGGATTCATCGAGATTGTATTTCAAAACAACGACACCACAGTTCAAAACTTTCATCTGGATGGCTACTCGTTCTTCGTTGTCGGGTAAGAATCATCCCATTTCGCTCGCTCGTGTTACTAATTACAATATTGTTTCATTATCACAGTTTAAAAACCAATTTCTTCTATTTAGGATGGACTATGGTGATTGGACAGAAAACTCTAGAAACTCTTATAATAAGTGGGATGCAATTTCTCGTAGCACGACTCAGGTAAGCTCCATACTATCTTTACCATTTTACAACCGTCTCCGGGAAAATTTGAACTGTGTCCCTTGACGATAGTTATATGTACACATTGTTGTTGTCGTTATAGATCTTCAAAAACTCGAGAACTCATAATTCTTTGTATATTTTAACACTATGATAGGTTTTTCCTGGAGGATGGACAGCAATTCTTGTGTCTCTGGACAATGTTGGATCATGGAATTTGAGATCAGAAAACCTAGACAGGTGGTACCTCGGTCAAGAAACTTATCTGAGGATTCTGAATCCTGAAGATTCGAAAGACAATGACACCGGTGTACCAGACAATGTTCTATATTGCGGTCCTCTCAAACATCTACAAAAGTAACGTCTCATTATCTCATACTTGCACCTGCATTGTTTTAGCGCCTGTTTGTTCGCTTTAAAAATCAATTTTTGGTTAACAAACGCGCCCTTTATCCTTTTTTGTTTATCTTCTATTATTGTTAAAATTTAACTTTCTTTATACTTGCACAGGGAACAAAAATCTTCAGCTTCTGCATTGGGACATTCCATCCTCTTCACATTGCTCTTGGGAGTTCTTTGTGTGATTTTCACAGCTAGCTAAATCTTCAAGGGGTCGTTTTTATGATACATTGATTTTTTAGGCCTATCAGATTGTGATTAGTGATTCTTGATCTAAAGAAAACAACATTGGGATTTGTTTTTTATAGTTTATGTCATTCAACAAAATGTGATTAGGGGCTATACTATACTTTGGTTTGGTAATTCATATTCTTAATAGATGGTTACAATATCATGAATCAAATTTTCATGTTTCAAAAGAATATTGAATATGTTCTTACAAGAATTACAATGAATTTAGTTACAAATAATTGATTAAGTACAATAATTGACTTAATAATGAAGAGATAGTTATATATCACAATTCAGAAGATCAAAGACCAGATGTAAATGGCACAGTAGTAGTAGCCAACCATGATGGGCCTGCGAGAAGGCCGGTTACGGTAAACTTTGATGCTTCATTTGGGCTTGTAATCACGTGATAACCGGGCCATTTCACTCTGTCTTTTGTCGATGAGCCTGGCCCGTAATTTTCGTACTCTCCATAATACAATGTATCTTGAGCAAAATCAGTGTCACCCCATGGAGACCAACCCAATGGGCTCACTAAAGTGTCCATAAAAGTTTTCATCACCATAACTCTTGAGTATTGTTGCCAAGGCCGGCCCAAGTAGGTTTTGTACTTGTTGACAACGGGCTTTAGATCCGATGCAGCCCTAATTTGACAATTGTGGAATGAAATTCCCGTGTTTTGGAATGGATCACCTCGGCCTTGAGCCGTGATCATGTTAGCTTGACCATCTAAAGGTTTTCTCGCAAAAATGTTACAATTTTGGAATACCACTGCTGCGTTGCCAAAGATGAAATCTACGGTGCCGTAGATGTAGCATTGTCGGTAAAATTGACGTTGCGCATGAGTCATGAGAGTGTCTTGGTAACCTGATATGGCACAGCGATAGAAGACAGACAAATCTGAGGCTGATCTTAGCGCCACTGCTTGACCCTTGTGTGGACCAGCGGTATTTTGGAAGGTTATATCACGTGCAATAAAGTGAAGCCCATCAATACCTGAATTTAAATATTTCAAGAATAATTACTTAAAATTTTGAACTATAAAACATAAACAACACAAATATCAGACACCAACTGAATATAACTCACCAGCTGTTGCTGAGCTATAAGTAGTAAAACCTCCTTGAACACTTCTTGAACTTGTTATTATGGTATTTTGCATTCCATCACCAATCAACATAATGTTATCATTATGAACATCAACCTCAATATTTTCTTTATAAACACCTTTCTTCACATGTATCACAAACCTTGTCTTATATTTTCTCTTAGCAGCAGTATCTAATGCAGCTTGCACTGTCTTAAAATGTCCCGAACCATCTTTTGCTACTACAAGATTGAACTTTAGTGAAGATTTAGATTGCAAAAGCTTCCTCTCATGCTTTGAAAACCAACTTGGAAATGACCTTTCTCCGGTTTCTACACACGATTCAGAAATTTCGATTAGTTGAGGCACAATCATTGAGTATATATTTAAAAATTATATTGTAAATATTTAAATAATATTACCTTTCTTGTGTTTCAAGAAATACATATTGATGGCTAAGGTGTTCCTTATCATCTCAATGACATTGTTATGAATAATGAAATTGAAATCTTGAGCATTGAGTTCTAAAGCTCCATTTTTGCATGTTTCAATGTTTGTGAGAGAAGTTGTGAGCCATGTTTGTGCATCATTTGGTGAACATATTCTGTCTCCATTGTTTAAGCCTTCAAGTGTACGATTGAGATGAAAGATTGTGTTTTCAAACAGCTTCAAACAATCACCATGAACAATTTTATTCTCGACCAATGAGTTTTGTTGTGATTCTTTTTGCATGAAAAGAGATTGTTCTAAGGCTTGTTGAAGAAGCATTCTTCTGAATTGAACTCTATGTTTGATTTTGAAATGATGGTTCATTTGAGTTGTGTAGTGTTTGCATGGTTTAGGATGAGGTGTTTGGTTACACCACCAATCAATGATGTTTGAGGAAGGTTCTTTTCTTGATGAGACTATTGAGAAAATTGAAGAAAATAATAAAAGTATGAAGAATATTTTTCCAAGGATTTCCATGATTCTAATGTAGAAGAATAATTGAAGTGTTCAGAAATAATAAGAGTTAATATGTATAGATGATGATTTTGTTGAGTTGTTTTTGGTTTTGACTTATGAGAATTAAAGCTATATATGTGCATATATGTAGAATATGTAGATGAATTTTTGTAGGTGGAGTGTGAAGGTTAAAAACGTGTGGAATGAATTGAAAGTGAAAATGAAGAATGACACAGATACAAGCTATTGATGCAATTGCAAGAAATAATTAATTGAATATAGGAATAAAATGTTATCTAGTAGAAAAAATTGCATTATTTAATAGTTGAAGCCTTATTGCTTGAAAGTGCAAGAAAAACAAGTGTCTTAAACGAGGATTCACATAACAATATTTTTAAGCTTACGTATGTATATTCAAGAACACTAATGATAATAGTTTTTTTCTAATTTGATCAGAAGTCTTTGGTTTGTTATAGTCATAGACACATAATAATGTTAAATTTTTTGAAGAGGAGTTTTGTAGTCTATTATAAAGTAAGAATGAGACCGCCTTACTTGCTACCTTCGCTCAATTGGTTACAAGTGCATGCATGGTGTTGCTAAGGAAAAGTGATTATATTATCCTTTAGTTTAGAAGAATTATTCAAGGGTAGAGGAATGATACTTTTTTTGAACATTGTAACCAATTTCACCTGGTAGGCTTTTGTAAGCGTTTTGTTGAAGCATACGTGATTTTTTTAGGGTACGTAATCCATGTGAATTTAGTTTGCATATTAAGCAATTGAAGGAAATATGTGTGCGGTTTTGACAAAGAATTGTGTCAACACAACACACGTTCATGTATTTAAACTAATTGGTCTCATTTTTAAATTATGGGAAGCATCAACTTAGGTATGTAATTCAAGTCTTTTTTCTTGGCTAAAGCTACTCATTTTCATGCATGCAACCACATTTTACACACAAATATAGCTTATGAAATCATATGATTTATGAATCTATTCTCTTAAATAAATTAATGAAACATAAGCGAGGTAACGAATGCGTCACGCAATGCTGTCACTTGGTGTTTTAAAAATCGAGGGATATAGTTATTTGTACATGGATTTGAACTATAGCTTCTGCACTTTTATTATTTTCAAAACTAGTGTATCATATTCCTGATTTATCAATAAAATTGAAGGGTAAAATAAATTGAATTTTTTAACTAAAAAAACTCGTTACAATGTTGTTGACAAGCAATTTTCGACTAGAGAAACAAGCCTTTAAGCTGTAAGATTTCTTTGGCTAAAAAGGCATGAGTTTGTAGAAAACAACAGAACGTGTCGATCAAGTGAAAGGATGTCGACCATAAGAGCTAGTCGACTAGGACATGAGATTCGGAGGCAGTCATCGACAAACATAGGGGTCGACGAGCAAGGATATATGGTGACGGGAACGATTATCAATTCGCAAGCCAGTAAGAGCATGGGGGATGTTTATAAGCAGTTTGGAGCATTTCTCCACAAAGCCCGACATGGGCTAGTAACTGTCGACGGTTACATACTTAGGGTTTCTATTTTAGCAAATATTTATATTTGTGTCAAAGGTCGCATTTCTACACATTTAGAGCATTACACTCAAAGTACCCGCATCTAAGAGAGAAACGAGTTTCAAGCTTAACAATGTATGAATGCTTCCATATTTAAATTCATAACAATTTTCAGTTTTCACTTTAAATTACAAGTCTTACTTTTGATTTCTTTACTTTACAATTGTCTTTTACTTTTGCCCCTTTTATTCAATATTAACCAGTTTCAACCCAAAAATACTCAAAACACTAAGTCTAGGATTATTGTAGCCGATCCTGCAAGTAACCTTTAATAAGAGGCTAGCGATTGTTTCACGGAGAAACAAATTGGCACACCCGGCTGCGTTTGAGTCTTATTATTTCGTGCATGAAATTAAAAAAGTGGTAGAAAAATGGTAGATCCTAGAACTCGTGAAAGGGATCAAAATCTGGGAGGAAATACCAGTGCAACGGCGAGTGTAGGTTCTAGTCTGGTGGTCGCGTCTTCGACTTCACCAAGCATAGTTACCACAACACAGCTAGTAACTACAAGACCACCGATGGTTACAACTTCTGGGCATTATGTGCCTAGTTTTGCAAGAGAAACACACGATGGTGTGATTCCAACTTCTGGGCAGTATGTGCCTAGTTTTGCAAGAAATATACATGAATATGGAATGCCCACAACCATGATGGCAGGACTGCATAATAGTAGTCCGATATTTGGTGAAAATTCTGCATCAGTGTTTTTCCCATATCGTGCTTCAGGGCTGTTGGAAAATCAATTTGGTCATTCGACTGGATTGAGATTTTCCAACCAAATTATGCATACTTTCACCCCAAGTACCGTTGCTGTCATGAGACAACAAATGAATGAAAGTAACCACGAAATGGTCAATATGCTTACTCAACAGATGAGTCTCATATTAAGACCTTTGATTGAAAGTTCGGTGCAACGTTATCAGACATTAGCAACTTAAATGACTCACATCAGGGATTTTCTCGGTGCTCCTAGAGCGCCAGTTCGACAAGTTGCGCCTCCACCACATGAGGGACCCGTGCAGTACGAGGAGGTGGTCGATGAAATAGTTGAACAAGATCCACCGACTCCTCAGTGTGTCGATCCTATACTTAGAGTAGTACAACAACCCCCATTAATAATAGCAAACCAAAACCAGAATGCCGACTAACTGATCAGGTAGGTTCGTCGTGAAGAAGTGGTTAGGGAACAAAACCTAGAAGCCATTGTCGAACAAATAATAGTTAGGAATGAAATGAATACCAGTTGTCAGAGGACTACGTATGTCTCGCCACTGCCAGATTTCATGTTACAAACGGAGTTACCAAGAGGCTGGAAACTCCCAAAATTCACTAAGTTCGCAGGGGGTGTCGA